TGTTGATTTCTAAGTTTTGAATGAACAAATCCATAGGTAGAGAAAATTCTTTCAATTCCTGCTAAAGAAGCCACTGCTGTGTGCAGCTGTGTAACTAATTTTAAAACAGGTTCATCAATTCTGTTACGTAGTGACTGCCATCATGTAAGAGGAGCAATATCAGTTAACACAGACTCTGCAAATGTGTTGCAGAAATGGGCTAATTTTTGCCAAGTATTTTAAAACTGAAGGCATAGCATCTGGGTAGTAAGCATGGCATAGAGTTAGTGCAGCATCTTTCATTCTGTCTGTGAGCTTTGCATCCTGGTCCAGAAGATTTGCTAAAAGGTGATAGTCTGTGATAGCTACATCTGTCTTTGGCTGCTTGTGTGATTCCAGTGATCCCAAGTTGTTGCAATTCATTTTGAACACTGTAAAAGTAATATCATTAGATGTAAAAAACGTGCTTTTATAGAAAAACTATGAAAAATTTAAAATAACCAAGAAATGCTTTTACTGTATTTGATAAATATAGCTGCAGAGATTATTATTCTTTCATTTGACAGGCATGAAAATTTACATGTGCAGTCTATATTGCTTACAAACCAGTTGACATCGAGAACAGCTGGTAACTGCTTTCCCGGGACATTTACATGGTCAGAATGGTAAAAGTTTAGAATGATTTAAATACTTTGGTTGAAAAAACTCTCATAAAAAACAACAAGGCAATTAAAACATTATTTTATAATAGATTTATAATTTGCTTTCATTTACTAGACAGTAAGAAGTTTATCTAGTTGTTTTTATTATTTTCATGCACCCATCTAATAGTACTTTTTAAATTTGTTTCATCAAATAATAATTATTGTTGGTTTTTTTTATAACACATTTTTTTGTACCTGAAATTAATCTGAAAATGGATGAGTCCAATAAGCCAAATGCATCTTATACTGTGAAGAATATTTTTTTCCCAAAAAATCAATATGAAAAATGTAATGCATCCATTACAATGGTGTTTCTTATAAGGTTGAAAATATATGGTATATAAAATTATTGGAATGATAATTCCATATATTAAACTTCCCCTTTTTTTTCAGAAATAGATCACTTTCTAGAGAAAATACCGGTACAAATAAGTGTCACCTCTAAGCCTTTAGATTTTTGGTACAGTTCGAATATAATAGATGAACAAATGTTTTTGTACTTTGCCCAGAATCTTCTTCAGGTTCACTATCATTCCAAATGTGGAATGTCCTTTGGACAGATTCTGGGCAAAGAAACAAAAATGTTTGTTCATTTATTATATTCTAACTGTACCAGAAATCTAAAGGCTTAGAGGTGACAGTCATAAATAGATGATGATGTTTTGATTTTGGATATATTTCTTCCTGGATATAAAGTAGTTTTTATACAATAATAATTAGTTGCTTTTTGTTCTCTGTCTTTGCAAAATGATTTTGATTAAGTCTCTTATTAACAAATCTGGAAGCATCTGATCATTAATGACCTTTATTGTTTATAAAATTTCAAAATGTATAATAGAAGATTAATTGATGTTGTACAATGATCTTTTACTTCTTCTTAAATTGTGTAATGAACAATTAACTGTTTAGAAGCAGTTAATTAATGGACAATAGCTAAATGAACAATTAAGTATTTAAGTAGACAATTAGCTAGTTAAGGCTGTTTTTAATTGACTCTTATGCATCTAGTCATAAAAGTTGTTTAATTGGTTTCAGTTTTTAATTAGATTTTGATTTGGCCAATTGATAACCATTTTCCTGTTGCTTAATGAATATATGTAGTTTAGATATAAGTTTTATACTATAGCAAACAATGATGTTAATGTGATATTAACAACCTTGTTTTAGCAAAGATTAGAGTAACATTCAAACCAGTTAATTGTTTTAAATCTTTAAGTAGATTCACTGAGGCAGTTTGAATGCTTAATCAATATTTAGAAATTGATTTGTTAATTAGTTTCAATAGAAAATTTGTTTTCTGAAAAGTAATTAAATGCTTTTAACATTTTACAGTGGGCTAAATTAATATTAGTAAAATTAATATGCTTAGTAAAATTAATTATTATACTTACATTAAATTTAATGTATTTAAATAAAAATTTAAATTGCATTATACTGTTATTAAATATTATTGAGTTTTATTATCATTATACTTATTGATATTAAATATTTAAAGATTGAGAGTCATGGCAGTGACTCTTCACCAAGTAAAAATGTCATAGACTGACTATATATATATACAGGAATCAAAGTAACTAATTTTCAGAGTTGATTTTTTTTCCCTCAAATGCCTATAGTAATTCTGAATAGCTTCTTTGAAAGATAATTGTTGATTAAATAACTAGGTTATTGTATTTCTTTTGTGCTAGTCTCAATGATAAATAGGAAGTTAAGTACCCTATTAGCATATTTAATCAAAGATGATAATTTAAAGATNTAACAGTGTGTATTAGACATGTCATTCCAAACTATGTCTTATCTACTTTTTAAAATTTTTGTACCATCTGTGCTATCTGATTACTAATGTAAAGAATTATCATAATAAAATGTTTTCATTTTAAAACACAGCTTTATAGCATATAGTCAGTTTTCTGCATTAAATTTCTGTCTTTTCAAACTACACATTATCCATATTTTCAATTTTTTCAAAAGTTGTCTTATCCATCTTATAAACTTCAATATCTTCCCAAATCTTTGTTGAAATTATGATTTTATTTACTAATAAATATAGCTCATATTATGTACATTCTACATGGTTCAAAAACTAATATTAGCATTGTCAAATTTTAAGCTTTAAAACATTTTGAGTACTGAAAATTAAGTGAAAGTTTATAAGCATGTAATGCTTATAAACTTTCACTTAATTATAAGTTTACATGCATTGAAGAGTCTGTAGAATCATATAACTAAGAGAACTTGTAATAAAAGAATTCTGTATTTGAAGTGGAGCATTAGAAAAGCCTCTTTTATGTGGCTTATAGAATTGAGTTTGTTCTCAAATATTGATTGGTTGATTTTGTTTAAACTTTGTCATTTTACATAATAATAATGAGAGACAAGGAAGTTAAAAATGTAATAAAAATTGGGGATCCAAAATTTCCTTTTTGAGATACACTGGGGTCAAAGTGGCAATATCCAAGGTCACTAGCACAAGTGTGTAAAATTTTTAAAATTCTTTTTTGATCATTTTAGATGGCTTCTGAAACAAAATTATTGACTTGCTAGTGCTACAACTCAATTCCTAGTTTGTGTTTGGACAGAAAATAAACTGTGCCTAGTTTAAAATATAAAAGATCTAGTTTGTGACTTGATGGTCCAAATTTCAACATAATTTTAAAATTTAAAAATTTGAAGCTGTTATAGTATGATATAAAATTTAATATGACAAATTATATTAGATTACTAATTGATATAAAATTGTAATAGGAGGAGAGTTTTGTTTACAGGGCAATAAAACAATTAGTGACTAATTGACAGTAGTAGTAGTAAGGAGATTGTCAGTGTGGGCTGCATTGACAATCTACCCTGAACTTAAAAGATAACACCTTTCAAATTTCATACATAGCAGATATTAATTGGTGTAAGTTGAAATAATTTACTGCAAGTTTCTGAAACTTGATGTGTTTATTTTGTGTTTTTGGATCAAATTACAATAAAATAAACAAAAAATGCACTTTTGGCATTCCCTGAGTATTTTAAATCATTAGAAAGAAGACAAAATGCAGAAATTAAACATATAATTGTAGTTTTTTTATGTAATGCTGACAATTTCATAATTTTAGAATAAAAACTAGTGTGAGTTTCACATACTGCTCTCTGAAGAGGCATATAAAACCTCACTTAAACTAGCATACTTGCATTCCCCAGTGTAAACAAGCATGCTGATCTTTACCATAAGGAAATATCGGTCTCCCCAGATAGACTGACGTGCCAGACAATCCATGAAAATATGGTATGAAGAATTCTAACTTTTGTTATTAAGTTACTAGAGCAGGGTTGTCCAACCTTTTTNATACGAATGTTTGTTTCTTGAAAATTTTATCACGATTTAAATACAGTATTTACTTTTAATATTACCGATATGTCATCAAAAAGAAAACGTGTTGTATTATCGTTAAAAGACAAATTAAAGTATTTGTTTCGATTATCCGGATTTTTCCTTATCCGGACTATCTTCATCTCCAATTAGTCCGGATAATCGAGGTTCTACTGTATAAACAAAAATCTTATTGTTTTTTAAACCCACAAGTATTTTATACTGTTAGATAGTAGAGAAAGTGTAGAAATCAAAGATATAATCAAGGCCAATCATATGTATCTGTAAATGTACAAAAATTGCATTAATTTGCATTATGTATCCTGCAAATACTCTGTGCCCAAAGGGGATTTAAGGTTTTTTTTAATACCTAAAATTAATTTTACTGTAATTGTTGTCATAAAACACTATGTTATGATGTAAACAAAAATATAGTATTTTTTTCTTGTTTTCCTGGTTTTAATTTACATTGCATTGCATTTTATAGTATTGTTTTTTTCATCAGAATAAAGAAAATTATGATATTTAAATGTTGGTACCATGACTAATATTTTTAGTCTTTACTCTGCTAAATTGAGAAAGCCAAAAATGAAGAAATTCATCGGAAATGATTTTGATTGAACAGATTTGGCATCAGCCGATAGGCTTATTATAATTTTCCAAATTACATTATAAAACGTTAAAATAAATAGAATAAACTGTTCTTAGAACATCATTGACTTAACATATTTGGAAGTTTGCATTAATTGTAAAGTCAATGATGTTCTAAGAACATTTTATTATATCTATTTTAATATCATGTTTTATAATGTGATTTGGAAAATTATAAGCCTATTGGCTGATAAAAAAAACATTTCAGAGGAACTTTTTTGTTTTTGGCTTTCTCAATTTAGCAGAATAAAGGTAAACTATTTAAATTTTTTATAAATTAAAATAATTATTTATATAATTTTTTTTAATAGGATTCTTCTGGTTTAAAGGATGCAATTCGTTTTACAGCTGGAGCCCATTCATCTTCAGATTCGGAATTAAATTCTCTTTCCAGTGGAAGAAACGATGCTCATTTTGATTGTCCATCTGGACATCTTGCATCAGCTCAAAATGTTGTTGAATGTCCTGTTTGTTTATTGATTCTTCCTACTCAATGTTTTCCAGAACTTAGTTCCTGTAGTTATCATTCATGTTACGATTGTTTGCAGCAATATCTACAAATTGAAATATCTGAAGGAAGGTATTAATTTTAAATTTCAATAAATATTTAATTAATAAATATGTAAATTTTTTATTTCCTACAAAAAATATCAAATATTTAAACTGTTATATATAATATATATATTCATTTATTTATTTACATAAAAATTATTGTGTACAGTCGACCCCCCCATAACACTGTTGATAATTCCATTTTATATGAATTCCATGTTGTACAAGTCACTCAGATTTTACAAATACGTGTGCCAGGCTGTGAACGGCTTGCATATTTGCAAAATATAAGTGACTCGTACAACATGGAATTCATATAAAACGGAATTATCAACAGTGTTATAGGGGGAGTTGACTGTATATTAACAATCAAAGGAAGATGATTCAAAGTATTAATTTAAGAGACTATATACATCCACTTATAAGAAAATATTGAAAAGTGATGTTTTTTTCAGGTTTTGTAGATAAATATATCAACTCAAAATAATAAGAGAGATTGGTTTTATCAAATGTCTATTATTATTATTTTTATGGCAAATAGGATTCTGGGGCATATGTATTTTATTTGCCATAAAAATAGGATACATAACGTTTTTTTTGTTTTTGAATTTCTCAAAAATAAATAACAGTTGAACTGTGGGCTTTATAGTATTCCTCAACTGATATGTTTTGAAGCAATTCCTACAGTGATTTTTAAGTTTATGACCCTTTTTTTCACAGAAATTTTATGAAAAACAATATCTTACTACCATCTAAAGTAAATTGTCTTGCAATGTGAGAGCACTGTAACTCTCACTCTCGATTGTTGTACATAACAATCACGATTCAATAAAATAACAATGTAGAATATTTAAACTACCACAATTCTACACATTCTATCTTTTTCTCCTGGTTTCTATGACTGGACCAATCCCAATTCATGTCGAATAAGTCATTGCAGCTATTTTTTGACAATGTGATTTTCTCTCTTTGGTATTATCTCCCTGCTGTCTTGCAATCAGAGCATGATAAGAAATATAATACTTTCAATTTTGCAACAATTAAAATTTATGTTCATTAATGTAGCAATACCATTTAGTAATTGTGACCAAAACATTTATTTGGTAATTTTATCAATATTTTAAGAATTATTAAAAATAAAATTATAGAATTCTTTACTGGCAATACTAGTTTTTAAATCTAAAAAGTTATTAGTCATTTGACCCACTACTGACAGAGAAGGGAATTTTTGAAAACAAAGTAATAAAACTATTAGCAGTTTGTCGTTCTTTACAGCAAGGGACCAGCAGAGTTTATTACTTTCACAAAAGAAAATAAACAAAGCTTTACTACCCTGAAGTTGAAAGATAATACTAGTCTGTAAAATTTAAAAAAATTTAATGTCAATAATTGAAAGTTGAAATGATTTATAGAGTTGAAATTTTATAAGTTTTTTCCATTTACAGATCAAATTACAGAAAATACAGTAGAACCTCCATTATCCAGACCTCTATTATCCGGATTTTCGATTATCCGGATTGTTCAAAATGAACAAAAATTTTACGAATTTGCTGATTTTCACTTGGCGAATTACGACACTGTTTATGTACTGTACGTGACGGAATGCATAACTTTTTTTGTTTCAACAACGTCTCACCCAGCACAGTGGTCGTAAACTCTTATGTATATTTTACGTGGTAATAAAAATATAACTTGACATACGTATTTATAAATAATTTATATTCAAATTACATCATTTCTATGACCAAGGGCGGCGTAAGGCATGAACGACGTGGGCCACCGCCTATGCCTCGCGGTCCGAAGGGCCTCGCGCCTCAAAGGTTTATGCATTACTTAAAAGCCGCAAACGCGACGAAAAAATTTTACTCGTCATAAAACGATAAATAGTTTGTCAAATTTTTATTCATAAAAATGCAGTTTCAACTGCTTTTTATTTTATAAAATCCGTCTTCTTGCGCCACCAGAGGGCCTTTTAAACAATAGGTAGTCTGTTAGCGTTGGTCAGTAGTAGTCCAAATTCAATACGAACGTTTGTTTCTTGAAAATTTGATCACGATTTAAATACAGTATTTACTTTTAATATTACCGATATGTCATCAAAAAGAAAACGTGTTGTATTATCGTTAAAAGACAAATTAAAGTATTTGTTTCGATTATCCGGATTTTTCCTTATCCGGACTATCTTCATCTCCAATTAGTCCGGATAATCGAGGTTCTACTGTATAAACAAAAATCTTATTGTTTTTTAAACCCACAAGTATTTTATACTGTTAGATAGTAGAGAAAGTGTAGAAATCAAAGATATAATCAAGGCCAATCATATGTATCTGTAAATGTACAAAAATTGCATTAATTTGCATTATGTATCCTGCAAATACTCTGTGCCCAAAGAGGATTTAAGGTTTTTTTTAATACCTAAAATTAATTTTACTGTAATTGTTGTCATAAAACACTATGTTATGATGTAAACAAAAATATAGTATTTTTTTCTTGTTTTCCTGGTTTTAATTTACATTGCATTGCATTTTATAGTATTGTTTTTTTCATCAGAATAAAGAAAATTATGATATTTAAATGTTGGTACCATGACTAATATTTTTAGTCTTTACTCTGCTAAATTGAGAAAGCCAAAAATGAAGAAATTCATCGGAAATGATTTTGATTGAACAGATTTGGCATCAGCCGATAGGCTTATTATAATTTTCCAAATTACATTATAAAACGTTAAAATAAATAGAATAAACTGTTCTTAGAACATCATTGACTTAACATATTTGGAAGTTTGCATTAATTGTAAAGTCAATGATGTTCTAAGAACATTTTATTATATCTATTTTAATATCATGTTTTATAATGTGATTTGGAAAATTATAAGCCTATTGGCTGATAAAAAAAACATTTCAGAGGAACTTTTTTGTTTTTGGCTTTCTCAATTTAGCAGAATAAAGGTAAACTATTTAAATTTTTTATAAATTAAAAAGGAACAAGTAAATGTGCATGATGTGATGTGTATATACACACACACACACACACTACATATACATATATATACATATATATATATAAACAGTTTAACCTGATTATAATGCCATACATGGAACTGGCAATTTTTTTACATTATAACCAAGTGTGATTATTTGCAGGGTCATAATTTCGGAACCATAAAAAGTACCAAGTGTGTTTAATAATCTATTTTAAAATCCATTCTAATTTAACATCATATGTAATACCATAAAATTATTTCTTAATGGTGTTACGGTATACTGTATCTATTATGGTAATAATAATTTATTATTGTATTACACACGATAATAAATTGTGTGTGATAATAAAAAGTGTAAACTGAATGTTTAAATCAACTTTATTTACATTATTATGTCTAAGTTTACATTGATGTAATTAAAAATTTCAAAAATTACATTTTATAAGAAATTTCTATTTGTCTTAAGTTTTGATAATGGTGGCACTTTCAGTTTTGAAAATAATGTTCAATCAAAAGGCAACAAAAGGTATAACTAATTAAAAAGACACAATAACAATATTCACTTAAAAAAGTCAGTTATTTTAGATTGTAGGCATTTTTCACCTAAAAATTGTTTATCAGTGTCATTTTCTAAATCACACACTTTTTTCATTATTTTCAATGAAGTTCTCCGAGATCTGTAAAACATTTTCAATAATCTTATTGCATTATGCATCTCCCTGGTTGATGGCACTCCATTTTCTCTGTCTAATGTTTCATCATCACCATTCTCATTTTTTTTGTCTGAAGATTTAATTTGCTCAACAATATCTACATCTGTATAAAATTTGGATATTATTAAATCTTCAATTACACTCTCATATTAATTAGCAGCAGGTGATAAAAATTCGTCATTTTTTGAATTTTGAAATGTTTTAATTAATTCTGATAGAGGAATGTTGTCATCCTCATTATCGTTATCATTCATAAATGTAATAGGCTGTTTGACTATTACACAATTTTGCATGGTGAAAACAGTTTGCTATTATTAGCGAACTAATCTTACACCAAGATTTTTCAAAAAATCAACTGCATCTAATAAAGAGATTGCCATTTTATTATCATCATCCATATTTGTAATAATTTTTTGTAAAAGAATTTTTCTGAAATGAGATTTAAGGCTTCTTATCATTCCTTGATTTATTGGCTGAAGTATGCTATACAATTTGGAGGAAGGAATACAAGTTTAATGCTCTTTAAATTTTCTAAAATTGGGTGTGCTGGCAGTTATTGACAAAAAGTAAAACTTTTTTGTTTACTAATAAATTCTCTATCCCATTTTTGAATTTCTTCTTAAAAAATCTGATGTCATCCATTTTTTGTTGGCTTTGTAATTTACTGGTAGTGTTTTTATGTTTTAAAACACCTTGGATTATTTGATTTTCCTATTACAAGAAGTTTTCTTTTGTCTGTATCAGTCATATTAGTGCAAACAAAAGCTATTATCCTATCTTTCACAAGTTTTCCACCACACACTTTTTGTTTTTAAATTTAAATGTTTTATCTGGTAAAAATTTGTAAAATATCCCAGTTTCATCTGCATTATAAATATCTTCATTTGCATATTTTCCCTTAATTTAGTCCACATATCTCTTAACCAGTTTTCAACATCCAGTAGGTTTACACTTTTTGCTTCTCCACACAGTTTTCCAAAACTTATGCCATGTCTTTGTTTAAAATGGTCTAGCCATCCATTAGAACATTTAAAGTTAGTATCACACAGTAGTACAAATTCTTCTGCTTTATTCCATTAGTATTGGTCCATTTAGTGGTAAGTTGGAATTTCTGCATTGGTTAAACCACTTAATTAAAAAGTATCAATAATAATAAACAATGCTTTTTGCCCATGACTATAAATTAGACAGAATTAGATAACCTAAATAGGGTATAACAATTTGCGGGGCTTATCACACCAAGGCCGACTGAAAGAAGGACCAGAACTTTTATAAAAAATCAAATCAAAAATATATATAATAATCACNGTACTCCGTGATTGCTACTCGGAG